AATTTTATTGTACAACAGAGAAACACAAATGGACCCTCTTTTGCTATATCTATTCAAACTTCTTTAAAAAAATTTACCTGCGCAGGGAAGACTTGACCTCCAGTAACAAACTGCATGGCAGAGTAAATATAAAGAAACCCAGCTGGGTAGACTAAAGGCCCTGTATCCCCTTTCAAGTTGCTGTAATCTCGCTCTCCTTTAAGAAATCCACTAACCTAAGGTGGAAATCGGAATAAAACTCATGTTTACAGGATTTTTAATACCAAAAAAAAATAGAGAAACAAAGCATAATTAATTCAAACCTGTGACATGTAAGCGTCCCAATCAATCTTCGTGTCTAGCATCATAAATTTGAAAAGTTAAATAACAAATCTTATTTTCATAGCAGACACACACACACACAGGACATGGTTAATCTTACAAGGGACATAAGCGATTATTAGAGCGACAAGAAGGACGTCGAGAAAAAGCAGAGCGAATGCGAAGGGTACTTTAGGGTTCTTGTAAAGCTTATGAATCGAAAACCCTGATCTTTGTGAGGGGTTGCGTTTTTCAGCCGATCGAACTGCCATGGCTTCTTCTTTGAATCGTTTCTCTCGTCCCATAGGAACTGTCGTCGGAAAACCGCCAACGTTCAAACGCAGCGTCCCCTTTAAGTGCACCGGCGCAGTATCTCCGTAAGACAACCCTTTTACAGAGTTTGAGGGTTCAGCCGCGGCGGGAAGCCCAACATAGCAATTGAGGGTTTACAATATAGGGTTAATCGTACTACAAAAAATCGTTTGAATTTTACTTTATATCTTCAAAAATAAAAAATTTAATTTATATTCTCAAAAAAAAAATTTGTATCATACTCACCTCAATCTAATAGCTCATCTAAAATTAAATAGATAAATTATATTTAAACCTTCTTATATTTGTTATTTAATCACCTAGATCTTTCAAATTTATAATATTACGCCTATATCTTTTGTGAATCCAAGTATGCCTAAAAATGTTCTTCTAATTGGACATTTCAATAATTATATTTTTTTTTATCTGGAAGAGAATTAAATAATTATATTCAAGTGATGTATTACATTGAATATAAAGAACATTATATAAATATTTGCATTATGTTGGGTATTCAAATAATAAATTTGATTTTAAATTTTAGAGTATAACAGACCCATAAAATAAAAAATAATACGAAAATATAATTTTTTACTATGAAAAAATCATATTTTTTAACAGTTATATAAACAGATATCAACAATAAAGAATTGTGTGTTATATGTATACAAGCATCAGGAGGTGTAGGAGTAATAATATAAATGTGATGGGTCAAAATAATTAAGTGACAAGAATGATTGGGTCTAGGTATAATTTATCTATTAGTTTTAGGCAAACTGACAACAGTTTCATGTGCGCATTTATACAAATTTATATATTTCAGAGTGTAATTTAAATTTTTTTATCTTTGAAAGTATAAATTGAAATTCAAACAATCTTTTGGGAATCAATTTATAATTAACCTTACAATATATTATCGGATGGGGCTAGCCCTAGTTTTAATGTATATGGGCCTTGCTAGATCAGCCCAACCAATCAATTGCGATGATATGGGCTGGTTGGTGATACTTCTTCTTAATAATCCTGACATAATATTAAAATACTGGTCAGGTTTTGTAATTAATTAAAAATACTTTGAAATGAGGCGACCCTCTAACATCAATTATAAATAAATATTAATTCAGCGAAGCAGCTCTTGCAACCCTTTCTTGAGAAGCCACGACAGGGTGTATATTCCATCCTTACAAGTGGGCATAAGTGGAGAATCTCGTATTTCAAATATACTTTTTAATTGAAAAAAGGAATAAAAAAACAAACACAATAAATTACTTCCATATTAAAAAGAATTTTAAGATCCCATTCTGAAATTTTTGCTTTAGGCTGCTAATATAATTGGGCCGACCCTGCCCATCATCCAAGAATTAGATCCCAAAAAAAAAATATTCATTATAATTGTAATACCATGTTAATATTGTCATATAATATCACTAACTAATAATATACAGATAAATAAAAAAATAAATTTCAAATAAGCTAATAACTATTAATTATTCTTCCATGTAAATTAATAATTATCCAAGTAAAATTTATTTTTTAACCCAAATTTACTGTGCTGAATTAAAGTTTTATCATCGATGCTTACATATCAACGTTGCATTAAATATTCCCACAACTTGAAAGATTAGACCGGACTGATCAAACCAAACTAAAACAAACCAAAATATTTCTAAACATAATAATTAATGCGACAAACTCGTGGTAACCATTAACCCCAAAAGCTTGTGATTAGTATTTCAAACTATACATAAAAAAGAACAACGCATATACACACCCATGCAAACTCTTGAAATTCCGGTTACGAAAATTGACTTTCCTAACATAAACTATACATGTTCGTAACCTCTAGGCACAGGCTATCACATTGCACAACACTACTTGCTGACAAGAAGTCACAACTTTCAGACATACACAAGCGTCAACGTTACAGCAGAGAGAAACACAGCCCAAGCCAAACAAGCCAAAACTAGATCGCCGGCGATGGGATTCACCTCCCGGAAGACCTGAGAACACGCCACCAGAGCACCCACCTTCGCCAAACACACGGCCAACGCCACCCAACCCGGTCCAATCAAAACCACGATCGGGTCCCAAGCCAGAGCTAGACTCAACTGAACCACATACAGAGCTAACGCGTTTGGGTTCCTATGGAACCCACCTTCGGCCCACACAAGCCAAGCCGAGAGACCCATGAGGAAAGCTGACAACACGCAAGTCAAGTGCAAAGCCCATAGGGGTGGGAACCAAAACGGTTTTCCGGAGCTATAGCTGGTATTTGACCCGAATAAATAAACGCTTGCAAAGGTTAAAGAGAGAGGAAGAGCAACTGCTATGGCTAGTGATCGGAGGCCACGTTTCGCCATGGCCGTTCTCTTCTGTGATCTTCTTGCTTTGTTGGTTTTGTTGTCCATATCGGTTTCGACGATGGGTTCGTCGCCGGTTCTGGGTTCATCTCCGGTTCTATGTTTAAGCTCTTGGGACGCCATGAGAGTGTTTTTGCCTGAGAAAAAAGAGCTAGCGATGGTTATGGAGGAATTTCAGGTGAGGTTTTTATAGAGGAGAGCGTGTTTTTTGCGGTGGTATGGATTTGTTTTGGAGATTACGGTGAAGAGGTGAGACGTGGCCGAAAGAGGCGGTGAGGGATGGATGCTAAGCGCACACGTGGGTGATTTTGCTGCGAGCAGTTGAATTTGGGTCTATGTTTCTTCGAACTTCGCTGATGTGGCATTGGTTCGGCATGTACCACCTTGCACTACCATGACATATAATAATTTTTTATATTAATCAAACCATAATAAAATATATCATGAATAAAGTTACACTTCCGAATTTAAACATAACATAATCAAAATTAGAATCGCTAGCTCAATAAGATAGTTTTTTTAATAAGTATTCAGCTATTAAAATGATATAAATATAAACAAATATAAATAAAATTAGCAATATGTCACATTTAAACTCACGGGAATGTAGCACTATTCATTATTACAATTCGTTAATTTTTGATACAAACAAGAATCATACCCGAAGAAAATTTTATGATTTTTACACCCTATAGAATCTAAATACTCTTCTCACTTTTCTAAGAATACCAAGAATTATGTAATTTCACATAGGCTACTTGTGATATCTGATACTAATAATCAACGAACTCGATGATTATTAGAAATTTTGTAAATTATTGCACAAAATAACGTGTTTACTAACTCACTATCGTTAATTTTGTGTAAAGATAGATCCGTTAAAAATCATAAAAATAAGGTTATATAATATTTAGATCCAAAATCAGGTAAAGAGTCAAAAATTATATATATGTGTCATAATAGAATCCAAAACATTTGATATGTGAATCGATTCCAAAAGATGATTAGGATTTCAACTCAAAATTATAAAATGTGTAAAAATCACGATTTGTCAACAAAAACTCAAATCTAATCCCATTAATAACCAAAAAAAAAAACTAACATTTTATAATCAACATAAGTTTGATACGTATAACCTAAAATTATGCATGAGATAATAAAGCATGTCCTAATCCCAAAAAATAAAAAAATACCGACAAAAAACATGCAATTTTTGAGGAAAAAAGAGAGAAAGAGAAGAACAAGGACACATTGTAAAAGAAAATAAGAACAAAACAAAGACATTTCACACCAAATTTTCTAACAATTGCATGAATTGAACCAGCTAAATAAATTCTTCCTTGATATATGATAATCTTCATAATGATACATCCACACACACGGGAAAAAAAAAAAAAAAAAAACAGACCAGCAAAAGTATGTGTGGCTGCAAAATTTAGTTTGATAAAATGAATAACTTCCTTCATTGGCTTTTGCTCGCGCCTGTTTGTGGTTCAAGGACAAGTCCTAGTACTTGTCAGAGAAAAGTTGCTCTTTCCTCATAAGCTTCATGCCTTTCAACGAGAAAACTTTTTTCACATATGAGCTAATTATCCAGAAACAATGCATTTTGATTCAAAACTAAAAGATATAAAAAGGAGGAATCTCAGACATCAGAATGACACAAAAAAGCTACAAAGAAATCTCAATGCAAAGATGGGAGACAGAGAAGCAAAACGTCCTGAATTACTTTTACCACCAAGAAAGTATAATATGTATCTGAATACCCTTGGCAATGTATTTGCAAAAGGCAAAGGTCATTTTAATATCGCAAACCTCTGGAATATATGAGAATTCAACAGCAACATATCAAAACAACATTAACTCTATTGACATATACTGCCAGAAATATACTCAACAGCTAGTAAACGCTGCAAGAGAATTTTCCCTATAGTCATTACCCAGTCGGGCAGAGCTTCCTCAATGTTATGGAGGTTCTCCTTTTCTGATCTATATCTTTCCCTTCCCATTTCTGAAACCCTGGCTTGCGGTTTATCTCATGCTTCCAGAGGTAACGTGCTTCTCCCCACATTAGGACTAGAGATCCCGGGGTCATATATACAGGAATCTTTGTCAAGGGCAAACCCATCTCATATTCCTTTCCAATATCCAAAGCTCCTCCTTCAACTCTGCTAAAATGCATCACACAGGACGACTCCAGAGAGACAATGGCAATTCCATCTTCAAAGCGCATAAGATCAACATGTGCACAAATTCCCTGCACACAAGCAAGAAGCCTAGCATCACGTATACATGCATAGTTATATTGGGGGCGGCCCTGACAACGGAATTTAGTCTTCATAGATTATGGTTACGCACAAAAGATCATGCAGTATAAGGCAAACATGAAACTGACAAGCCGGAATAGATGGAATGATGGAACAAGAGCTATGAGAGAATGAGCTATGAGTCTATAACCTACATAGAAGGCATGTGTAGGATATGAAAATATACTTTCAATAATGTCTCAACCTACTGACAAACCTCCAAGGCTCTTCTATTTGTGCAATTTTACAGTCACATGGTCTTAACACTCGATGCACAAAGTTGTGCAACACATCTTAACCAACCTTTATTTCTGGTCTGCCTCAGATGCATTTTGCTATTACAAAAACTATCTAAATTCTTAGGTATCACTTCCGTTTATGAAGATAAATAGACCACACTCAGGCTCACATGATTTATCTGAAAATGTCCCAGGTACAGGTACTGGGTTATGGAAAGATATGCCTAGGATCAGGTTCACCAGAAACAATATCAAGTGTGCCACCACAGTCCAATGGGCTGAGATGATTATGTAATTAATTGTGACTTTTACCCGGAATGAATATATCCTGCCGTAGTGGGAGAAACAGGAACATAACGAAATTTTCCATACAGCCCAGTCCCATTGGGCAATAAGTGGCAACCTACAATCACGGCTCCGTAAGCCATTATGTACCCTTGTGTTGGAATCCACATCCTTCAATGGGCTAATGCTGCTAATCACTCATCATTAGTCATTAATTTACATACATATGGTGTCCTTATGACTTTATATTATATATCAATTGACCTGATAAATGAATGCTAAGGCTCAATCCGGCCCCTTTACCTTGTTAACTGAACAGCCAAGGTTTCAAAACATTCACTTCTTTCTCTCCCCCCAAACTGCCCCATTTTCATGCAGGCCAAGTGATGGAGACCAAGAAGGAATTAGATACAGAAGAAAAAGAGGAGATCAGGAAAGAACTAAATCTCAATAAATCAACTATCAAAGGCTGCCCAAAGCAAGTACATTATTCCCCTATATCTATGCAATACCATAACTACAAAACAAATAAATAATCCAACTGACAAACAGTTCCCCAAAAGTAAAACTAACAAATAAGTCCTAATCTCTCCAGCCAGCACAAATGTAGTTACTCCTTTTGTAGAAAATCCCAACTCATTAACTTGCCTTGGCACTACAAATGAGCATGTTCTTTCATATATATTATTATGGAATTTAATCCCTCTTATCAGCTATGCATGCCTAACCTTACATGTAACATGATCACTAAACTTAATTGTTCAATGATGCAAAAAACACACACACATATATATATATGTGCTTTTAAAGTGTACAAATTTTCTACCAAAAATTAACAACATCTTGCTAAATTATGTTAATGATAACTTGATAGAGAGAGAGAGAGAAAGTCGATCATAAGTTATGTTTCAAAATATCAGATGCCGATGAAATTTAAAACTCCAAAATCCATATCGCACCTCACCTGGTTGATATATGTTTACTATCAGTTGATTAAAGAGAGGCTCTCTCCATAGTAAATCTGATGGGAAGAGACAGACTTCTTTATCCTCATTACAATTTGAATTGTCCATGGAGTCAAGAACAAAACCACTGAGAAGAACCACCTCACGAATAGAGTTAGAAAGTTTAATTGCCCACACCGGAAGATTGCCAAACCTCATAGCCTGCAATTAAAGTAGTGTATGAGATTGAAACTAAAAGTAAGGTTTAGAGTCTTTAGACCTTTTTCATGTAATACAAACGAGACTATTAATTTTATGGAGTGACTCTACTGCCACAAGCGACTAAGGGAGCTCCTCTCACAACTACTAAGTGACTTTAACAGATGAATTTATCCCTAAATCACACAAAACCAATTTGCTATAGTAGACTTTGTACTCTATTTAATTGCATAGCATACAATTTGTAACAAAGATTAACAGTTGGATCTATCTAAAGAAAATGAACCAAGTATTATATTTCTATAAACTCAATAAACATGTTTGCCATTAGAATTCATTTCTTGCCAACCCAATATGTGATCTGTGGTACAAGAACTAGAAGTAAGACAATTCGAGAGCATGTCAAACCTGATTGTGAGACGCTTCAACGAGCCATCCTTCTGCACCCATAAAACACCAAACATTTGTATGAGGGCTTGCCATCACAAACTATGTTCGTTTTGAATAAGAAACAAAAATCTAATTAAAGTATCTAGGTTACTAAAGCAATCCAACAATTCCATATTGATATGTAAAAGCAACTTTAAGGAATGGAGTCAATAGACAATATTCGAATGATTATACGTCTTTAAAGAAAGAAAGAACCTTCTTCGATTTCGGATAGCAACAAAGACTGTTGATCATGAGAGAGAAAGTCTCTGCACAACCATAAGCCATTGATTTCTTCGATTCGTTCCCAGTTGGGGCTTTCACCGAAGATTGATTCAGATGGATCTACATTACTTGAATCTTTAGACTGAAGCTGTTGTTCTTCTTCGTCGTCGCTGTCCGATGATTCGCCAAACACGTCCTTGACAAGCGTTTTGTGCTCCTCCATTTATTTCGTCGGCTCTCCCACTCCAACTGGAATGATTAACAGTTGCGAACGCTGTGCCCTGTGCTTGTAATTTGCTACGGGGCTAATCTCAGCACCCGGAAAGACTCAAATCATAATTTACGCCTCAAAATTTAAAAATATTAATTTATACTCTGAATTCGGTCATTTTTGGGTTAATTATAAATCGTAATCCTCAAAGTTTAAATATTTTTTATTTATAATCTAAAAAAATTTCATCTATTAATACTTTTTAAATAATTTTTAATTGTATCATTTCATAACATCTTTATATCATGTTCGAGTCAATAAAAAAATATTTTTAAAATTTTAAAAAAAATTATAAAAAATCTACTTTTTTAACTATAATATTCGTTAAATAGTTATTTTTTGTCTAAAATTAGACAAAAATCTTTTGATTGTCCAATCAATTAAAGTTAAATACGAATAACACAACTGTAGAAAAAATAGTTATTTAACAAGTATATAGGCAAAAAAATATGCATTTTTCAAAATTAAAAAATATTCAATAATATTGTATGAATTATCGTAAATATGAAATATATAACACAACACAATTGACTTGACATAAAAATATTTTTTTATTGACTCAAAGACGTCACGAAAATATTATGACACCATACAATTGAGAGCTATTTAAAGAGCATTAATGGATGAAATTATTTTTGAATTATAAATGTAAAATGTTTAATCTTTGGGGGTGAATTTATAATTAATTCAAATTTTTTTAATGGAAAAATAAACAACAATTAATATTAGGTGCGCATTAGTATGTATTTATATCTTTTAGGGTATAAATTAATATTTTTTAACTTTAAGGGTACAAATTAAAATTCAAGTGATCTTTAAGTTAAGATTAGGCCTTTGTGTAATAGATTTAGGGGAGAGAGAAGAATTAATGTTAAAGGAAGCATATTGATTGAATCCAAATATTTTATTTTGGAAAAAATTTATCTACACCCCTTCTAATTTATTATATCTTCAAAGACACCTCATTTATTATCAAAAATATCACTGACACCCCTTCTAGTTTAATTTAAACATCACTAACATCCCCTACCATTAAACTACCATTTATAACAAAAAAATACTCATCTAAAATATCAAAAATGCCCCTACATAAATCTCAAGTAATTTTTCTACATAAAATTTTATTAAAATTCGAGCTGTTAAAATTTAAAAAAAAAATCGTAAATAACAATTTTGGTAAATAATTTGTTAGTAATACTAATTTGTTATTTACGAATTCGTAAATTTTTTTAAAAAAATTCGAGGCTATTAAATTTTTTTTTTACATATTAAAATTTGAAGCGATTTAAACTCTACCCGAGTTGTTTGCGCCGATTAAAATTCTCTTTCGAGTAGATTAAAATTTATATTTTTTTACTTATTAAAATTTGTGTCAATTAAAATTTGATTTATTAAAATTTGAGTCAATTAAAATTTATATTATTTATATATTAAAATTTGTGTTGATTCAAATTCAATGCGAATTGATTAAAATTTGATTTGATTCGATTAAAAATAATTTTTAATTTGCCCAAATTTTAATACGTAAAAAAATTATAATTTTAAATTTGCTCAAATTTTAATATATAAAAAAATAAATTTTAATTAGCTTGAATCGAATTTTAATATGTAAAACAAATTAAAAAATAGAGGGGATCTCATTGAAGATATATTTATCTAGAGGGAGTCTCATTGAAGATATGTTTATCTAGAGGGAGTGTAGATGAAATTTATTCTCATAAATATAATGAACAATTTAGTAAAATTCCATTATAGTTAATATTTTTGATCTTACAGGGGGTGTCATTGAAGATTCAGAAAATAGAGAGAATATCTTTAAAAATATGGTAAACTAGAGGAGGTGTGTAAAATTTTCCCTTTTATTTTTTATTTTTTGTTTACATTGGAAGAGAAAACTAAAATCATGAAGACTTCGTCACAAAACAAATGCTAACGGTAAGTCAACATTAAGTAAGATAGAAAAACACGCTGGTCTGGCCTTTGTCATCATTAAATTCATCGAAAATTAAAGAAAAGTGCACGAGAGAACACATGTCGAAGAGAGTCAACACCAATTCATTAAGGGCACGTTTGGTAACCAGTTTTTTTTTTTTTTTTTTTTTAAAAAAAAAACAAGTTTGGAGAGTGTTTTTTTTTTTTTCCAATCTGTTTTGTAAACAACCCCTGTTTTTTAAAACACCTATTTAGGTGCTTTCAAAAACAGAAAAAAATGTAAACACGCGCGTCTCTCAACCTCTATTAATGAGGTATTGTCACTGAATTCCATTAATAGAATAAAAGCTATTCTTTTTGTTCTAAGTATAAAAAGACTTTTTTCCCCCTTTTTGGCTTCTCTCATTTGTTTCTCTCGTGCTTCTCTCATTCGGCTCTCTCTTGCGAAGCCACTGTAGGCGAAGGAAGCTCCAGCGAACGGCGAAACTCCATCAAAGGAAGCTCCAGCAATAGAAGCACTAATTTTTTAGATTTTCTACTCTTTGCATCTCCATCGATCTTTTTTTCTCTCTATCCCCTCTCTGGATTTTTTTTTAATTGAACTATTGGTGTTTGTTGTATTCATAGATCTATGTATATATACATAGATTTGTGGGTTTCAGTGGTGGGGTTGGGTTTCAGTGGTGGGATTGGGCTGTGGGTTTCGGTGGTGATTTTGGGTGGCCAGTGGAGATTTGTTTGTGTTTGTTATAGATTTGTGTTGGGTTATGGGTTTTGGTTGGATCTGCCAGTAATAAGGAGGAAGAAGACTTTCGTCTGTCAATTTCTATATCCCCATTATTATTCTTTGTAATTTTTTGGATTTGTTTTGAAGGATTAAAACCATATTAGGCTTTAAATCTTTTGATTCTTGTAATTCTTTGAATTGATGAAATAAAATTTCTTTTTATTTTTCTTTTTTTAAAAAAAAAAAAGTGGTAGGGTTGGGTTGTGGTTTTGGGTGGCCAATGGAGTTGAGTGGTGGGTTTTCGGTGGCCAGTGGGAGTTGAGTGGTGGGGTTTGGGTGGTGAATTTTTGATGTAATACCAAACAAGTTTTTTATTTTTGTTTTTACAAATTTTCAAAAATATAAAGGACTACCAAATATGTTTTATATTTTTAATTTTTATCACAAAATAAACAACACTTAAAAAAAACATAAAAACAAAAATGTTACCAAACACACCTTAAATCAAGTCAAAACATTAACAATTATAATTTTAACATTATTTTTGTGTTAATATTACATCACGAATTTTGTCATTACAATAATATTTCAAACTTAAAAAGTATAAGTGTTACATGCCTACAAATTTATGAGGTTTGGGTATAATTTACTAATAAATATATTAACAGATATCAACGATATGGATTTGAGTATTACGCGTGTACAAACTTCAAATATATGTGTGTAATATTTCAAATGTATAAGAATTCAATTGATTAAGTAATTACTTTTTCGTCTATTTTTTCTCCTAATTATAGAGTGATTAATTTTGATAATTTGGAAGGAAAATTAATTCATTTATTTTTTTATCATTCTTATTTTTCTTCCTAACTAAATATGATATTTTATCTATCCCTCCAACTTTTTCATTTTTCTATTGTACCAAACAAAGCATTACTTTTTAATTATCGAGTTATGAATGGTAAAATGAACACTACAAGATTAATACTAACAGACCACATTAATAAACAAACAATTGCTATAATTAATAAAATATATTGAATTCAAATTGATTAGCAATATACACAAATATTAATCATATGATCTAAATAGAAGTAACTCAATTTACACCCCTAAATTTGTCATTGTTGTTTAGACACACTTCTTATGGGTAAGTTTTCGATACTAAAAAAATGGTATTTCAGTATTATACCAAGATCTTTCAGTATCATACAAAAAAAAATTATAACTTCTAAGTCTAAATTACAACATCTAAGAGTCAAGTCGCTACTAGTGGTTGATTATAGAATGTTATAATTGGTCAAAAATAATTTTCAAAAGTAATTTGACTACTTTTTAGAATGTGTCACTTGACATTTATAGAATGTTGTAGACTGTTAAAATTTTTCGGAAGGATGGACTGAAATTGGACCAGGATATTGGGGTCCCGTTTAGTTTAGTTTGTGTTTTAAAAAATAATATTCAAAAATTGTTTTTAAAAAGTGCTTTAGAAAAATATTTTTAGTATTTTTTTTGTCACAAAATTTATTTAGTTATATGATTTCAAAAACAGTTATATGAAATAGAAAATATTAAAAAATATTTGGATAATATTCTAGAAAATAATGAAAACATAAATGTGGTGATAGTGGTGTTTTTTAATTCTGAAAAGATTGTTTCAAAAATACACAAAATAGTTATAACTTGTTCTCTAAATTTACTCAATTGTTATTCTCAATTTTCAAAAAATAAAAACTAAAAACAATTGGCGAAACAGTTTTTTACCAAAAATTATTTCAAAAAAATAAAAAAAACAGTTTTTAAGATGCAAATTAACCAGAATCTGGTTCTGATCTGATAAAAAAAACCCAGAATCCGGTTGAAAATTCCACACAAGTGGAGACACTTTCTATGGTCAGTACAAAGTGACACGCTACTAACTAACCATTAATAGCCGCGAGATGAATGACATAGAGATTATAATTAAATGTGGAATATTGAATACTAGTCATTACCCGTGCCTGAAGGCACGATAAAACAAAAAATTTGAGTCTTAAAAAATCTATATCCTATATTAAATAATAATTTTTCTTTCATTTATTTATTTGATTAAATCATTCAAAATTTATTTTTACCCATTATTTTTTTAAAGATATTGACAAAATTTTCTCAAAATATGAAATTCGATAAAATTTTTTAACAAAATTATGTTAAATTATAAATTAATCAAATATTAAATGGTTGAACATGTAATAGAAATGAGTGATGTGATGATTTTAAGGGGAAAATACATAGCAGTATATGAGACTTATGTGTTTTATATAGCAATATAGGGGAAAATGTACAGCAATATAGGGGATTTACAATCTGGCAGCAATATGGCAGATTGGAGAGAGAGAGAGAGAGAGAGAGAGGGGCAGAGGGTTTAATTGGCGGTGGCGTGTGTTTGGGTTCAAAATGGGCGGGATTTTTTTTTTGGGTTGAGATGCATTGCAAGCCATTGGATTGAAATGGAAGAAATGAGATGAAAATGTGGGCCTTTGAATTAAAAGTTGATTTAATCTGAGCCGTTCTTATGCTTTTCCAAATAAATTAAATTTTAAAGTAGAAAAAGATTCAAAATGAGTCCTATCTTATTAGTAAATATTTTAAATTTTATAATTAAATTTTATGTTTTATTATATTATTTGTTGAAATAAAAATAAAAATAAAAATATATATATTTTTTAAAAATCGTAATTAGTATATAATTTTAATATCTATTGGAATAAAACTAAAAAATTAAACAAATGATCTAAGTCATTCATAATAGAACATAAATTTTACAACTAAAATTCATTTTCTATTAAGTCATTTATTAAAATAAAATCAAAAATAAAAATCTATTTTTTTCTTAAAAAATTATAATTAAGATATAATTATACTATCTATTTGAATAAAACTAAAAAATTAAATAAGAGGTCAAACTATAATGAGTATAATATGTTATAACTTTAATTGGAGTAATTTGGTAGTTTAATTAAATTGTAATATATAGTATAATTGTATACTAGTTATGATTTTTTAAGAAAAATTAGATTTTTATTTTTGATTTTATTTCAATAAATGTTATGATAAAATATAAATTTTGGTTATAAAATTTAAAATATTTGAGATTTTATCTTTGATTAGAGTATTTTTGATATAAATATAATATTTTAAACTTAAGAGGTCTAAGTATTAGAAGTTTACAAATTTTAAGGGATTTAAGTGTAATTTACTGACGGACGTAAAAATGTATGTGTTGTGCGCGTACAAATTTAAGAGATTTATGTGTAATATTTTAAATATTAAGAAGTCTGAATGATTAAGAGACAAATCTCATGAGATCTGAATATAATTCTCTTTAGTAGTTAAACAAATTTATGATATCAAAATAGAATTATTTGTATCTGATATTAACTTAATACTATTATTATTTGTGTTGCATTATTAGGAAAAAAAAAATTAGATCAGTATTTTAACTCATTATTGTGAATCTCATGAAATGTAGAGTTGTCTGTCTTACGTTTGGTAATCCTGTCCTGATTGTTTCTTCTTGTCCTGTGTTAGACCAGAGAAGAGAACTAAGCATAAACGAAAAGAATCCATCAGCCTAACGTGCATTTTCTTCCACACTCCTATGCCATAGTAAGGCCTAACCCCACCCGTCATCCAGATCTTACAACTTCAGCCAATGTGCCCTCCACCTTCATAGTCATCCGTGCCAATCCACGGTCTATAACACCCACCGATTGCAAAACCATTTCCAACACCTCCACGTGTCATCTAAACATTGATCATGTATCACCTCATCACGTGGCAATATTTCGCCGCATAGGTAATTTCCTTTCTCAGTTCCTCAAAAAAAACGTAGCCTCTAAGTTTTGTGTTGACGTAGACGCGTTGGCCATCACGTGTGGGACACATGGCAGAGGTGACGCTGCTAAACCTAAACCCTGGATTTCCATCAACTTCTTTGCATAAGATAGGGAACCACCTATAAAAGGGGAAGTTGTAACAACGCTCCGTGTTGTCTTGTTTACGAAGTTTCGACAGACTTGTTTCTTCCATCGCTATATTTAAATCTCTGATCTTTCTCTGTCTTAATCTCTCCCTTTCTCTGCCGTTTGCGAAGCTTCTCTCCGGTGGAAAATGGCGGAATCAGAAGCCAATCAACCGACGGAAATCGTAAGCTCCTCTTTCAGTTCTGAAATCATCAGGCCTTCCTTCATATTAGGATTTAGTTATTGCATTTATATCTTACCTGATTGTTTCTTTCGTTTGATTTTGAATCTGTTTCTCTTGAATATTAGCATTACAAATATTCAATTAATGTTAAGTTTGTAATTGTATTGTGATTGGTCTTTGAGATTTTGTTAGGAGCTTTCGTTGACCTGCTTTTTTTTTTCAAATTGAAGGTCCAAGATAGTGAGAAGCAACTAAAGTATCTTGATTTCGTTCAAATCGCGGCGATTTACGTTGTCGTCTGCTTCTCAACCATCTACGACTATGCCAAAGAGAACTCAGGTCCGTTGAAACCCGGCGTTCAGACCGTTGAAGGCACTGTCAAAACTGTCATCGGACCGCTTTACGAGAAGTGTCACGACGTCCCTTTCGAGCTCCTCAAGTTCGTCGATCGCAAGGTTTGAATCGAACTCCACATCGCAACCGGCGCATATTACCGTTTTCGTCGTATTCTCGTGAATTCCCTGTTCCTGATTTCGTATTCACGTGACTTACAGGTGGACGAGTCGATAAACGAGTTGGATCGTCACGTGCCCTCTTTAATGAAACAGGCTTCGAGCCAAGCCATGTCTGTGGCTCAGAAGGCTCCAGAGGTGGCTCGAACCGTGGCTTCGAAAGTACAGCGCGCCGGTGTTGTCGACACGACCAAGAACATAGCGAAGACGGTGTACACAAAGTATGAGCCGACAGCCAAAGAGCTGTACACGAAGTACGAGCCGGTAGCTGAGCAGTACGCGGTGACCACGTGGCGCTCATTGAATCGGCTTCCGCTGTTTCATCAAGTGGCTCACATCGTGGTCCCAACGGCGGCGTACTGGTCGGAGAAGTACAATCAGGCCGTGACTTCTACGGCGGAGAGAGGATACACGGTGTCTTATTATCTGCCGCTGGTGCCCGTTGAGAGGATCGCCAAGGTGTTTGAGGGTGCTGAGAATGGGCCCACTGTTTCGACCAATGAGGAAGCTGCTGCCATGGCGCAGTAAAAGGAGTGTAATGGTGGTGATGAAGTGTTAAAAAAAAAAAATGATGATGGTTTTTTTTTTGGGGTGAGGTTTGGTAGGGTTTCACATCTATACTGTGTAATGTAATTTCCTTGTTTGCTTGCTTGCTTGCTTGCTTGCTTCTGTTCTTTAAGGTGATCACAACCCATTTTGTTGTTTTGGGTATTTGTTATTAGTCTATGTCTATATCACCATAACATAAATCTACTTGGGTTCTATATGACATGAAATAGAGAGAGTGCTTAGGATTATTTGATGGTTGAAGTCATGCGTGCTTTGTTCAAATTTTCCGGGTTTGTTTGGAAATTGGAGTTGTGTGCATTAAGTGGTGAATTCAGAATAGAGAATCGGTAACTAATAAATAAGGAAAATGTTATTTGGACCAAAAAATTTGATATAATTTGTTGACTTAATGACATGGTTTCATTGAAATTATTGGATTAATTCTAAATTTTAATGTTCGATGGAGCCTACAGTCAATTTAAAAGATATAATAAATTAGGTCAATAAATTAGGTATCAATAGTATTACTCAATAAACAATAAGTTGGATAAGACTCGGACTATTTTAGGCTGTTTTTTTGTGTCACACTTTAGTAATTTGATAGGACACAAACAGGGAGGAGTAATTATAACAAGGGAAATTCCATAGATCCATTTCTAAAGTGATTGTGCTTTAAAATATGATGGTGCCAAAGAGAAGTAAATCTCTTAACGAGCACAAGACAGAATTTTTTAAGAGGTGTTAGTCACAGAATTGGCTCACCTTTATGTGTGTTTGTAGTGAGACCGTTATTAAGGGATGCAGGTTAATCCTAAATAGAACATTCATGAAAATCAGGATACTTGTGCATGGTTGTAAGAGCGCAAAATTGATTAAAATTTTATCTAATGCTCATATCTTGTGTGTGACAAGTAGAAATGTGAACCAAAGAGCCTAATTCAAGATTGGTTCTCTATGATTCTTTAGATGGAATCACGGAAACTAGTTAACGCTAAATGAAGGTTCAAATCTAAAAAACGCTTATCACCTATTGCAGGGAGATTGTTAATATGTATGATTTAAATTTAAATTTACTGTCATTTATTCATATTAATAATTTCAACCCCACATTTATTTTATAACTTTAAATATTTCAATTTTGATTGTTGGAATTCTTTAGAGAGAGTTACATGTAATAACTACATATATTACACCACTTCATTATGTATATGTGTGTGTGTGTGTGTGTGTGTGTGACTGTTGCATATTCAAGCCATTTACTACCATTATATGCACCAGGAGTAATGGGAAGCAGTAGGTTAATGTCAAGTAGGATAATAGTTGGACTTTGACATACTACCATCTGGAACTTATCTTCCTTGTTCTTTCTATTTCACAGGGCAGCAGGCGTAAAAACATGTGTGGTTTACCATTTCAACCACTTGTGTCTCTCATTTCTTTATTGGTTTCCACTTCTTTCTCGGCTATGCCATTCTGTGATTCTTGCCTCCTTTCATTTGTCTCAATGCTTTTCATACCCTATGCCATTGCTTGAATTCTATATGGGATCAACAACAGAATCTATATACTTTACCTCTCTGTATGGGATAAACATACATGTAGCAAAACTTCCTATAGAATATGCCTCTTTGTTCTCAAGTTGCGAGTGAACTATCTCAGTACTTATACTTGCACCACTTTGACCATTCTGGACTTTGGTGTTGCTCAATCTATTTTTAACATACATGGGATACAAGCAGAGTTAGATTTGCTTGCATGAAAACATGCTTACAATAGGATTTCTATTGTAATGTACCTACTGGCACACAAAAGCACTATTTTTTATTTCTGGGAATTAAAATAAGCTTGTAGATAATTGTCAAAAAACATGTGATTGTATTGGAAGAAAAGACATGGGATGTGAAGCACTCATGGAAGATAATGTTAACCAATATATATAATCAGAATTTGAATTACAACTAATTACTGTAGCAAAACTATATTTAAGTATACTGTTATATGTAAAACAGTTATAAAAAATAAAATATATTCTATACATAAATAATGCACTTACTTGATTGCAGAACAACAATATGAAAATAATAACAATTCGAGTCATATCTCTGTTCTCAAGTTAAGACAGATTTGCTTTTTCTCAGTACTCAAGATTGACGAACATTTGTCTCCCAAAATACAACGAATTTCGTCTTTGTAGAAGTAGTACTTCAACCTTTAAAGATCAATGAACACAACTTATTTTTTGTACTTGAACCAAATATAAAATATAATGCAGAAAGACAGAAACAGATGCAACAGTATGCAAAAATCCTATCAAATATACTAACTTGAGTTTTTGAAATTGTATCTTCTCGATTTTTCAAAAGTTCTCTTGGCCGTTAAATGAAAGAAACAATCACATAAAATATAAATACACCAACTAAACCCTAATGTGAAGGCCAGGTATGATTTTGGAACTATAAGAGTTGCTTATAATTTTTGTGAGTTGTTTGGCTTTTGATTCCCCCATTTTGTACCATAGAAAAGCTTCGCAAAAGGCAAATAAAGGGAGAAATTAAGAGAGAGAAAGATAGAGATTTATATAGAGATCAAATAAACAACTCTAATGAAACTTCGTAAAAAAGGCAAAACGTGGCGTTGTCAATTTAGGTTAAATGAAAGGGAATCTAGGGTTTAGGTTTAGCAGCGTTACCTTGATAAGCCCTAAATTGCACATTTATCCTATCATTTGGGGCTAATTGTCATATGTGACTTAATTGTATGTGATTAATGTTATATTTAATTTTATCATTTGTCTATTTTGCTGGTAAAATAGTGAGGTTATAAAGCAAATAAGCAAACATGGAAGTGAGATAAGAAAGAAGATTGGAGATTGAAGAATTGAAGGCCACATTTGAACGTCAATTGTCTAAGTTTGGACGTGAGATTCTATATCAAAGGCAAAAATAGGTTGAGTTTCCGGTATTTGACATTCGAGCGTAATTAAAGTCACGTCCGAACGCATGTTGAACCTATTATGACGTCTAGATGTCATAAAAGCCAAGTCCAGACACGTGTTTTTACTCCCAGCCAATCAAAAAAGCATGATAACGCAAGAAGGAGATCTTTTTCCTCTTTTGTAAAGTACCGTGGGACTTTCTAAGGGAGTTTAGGGTTATATCAGAACAAAAAATTTTGTATTAAGATTAATTTGATGATTTCTTCCTTTTTCATGGCTAGCTAATCTCTTTTGCTAAGGTTAGAGGAAGTTTAATACACTTGGATATATAAATTAGAGCATATGTTCTTCATTTGAGGTTTTCTTTAATAATTCAATTATTCTTATTTTAACAAAGCTTTCTCTCTATATAATCTCTTGAAATATTATGCTATATATGTGATGAATTCTTGAAATTCCTTATGAGTTGAATAGCTAGATGTACATGTTTTGGTTGAATTGCTGGAATTTTCATTTAATTAATTAATTTGTTGGTTTTTATGAATTTGGGTGTTTGATTGTTCAATTGCTTGATTTATCATAGATTTCGGATATGGTGAATGTTTGTAATTGACATGTTTGAATTCATTTATATTAACTTTTTGATTATACATTAGAGAATTTCCTAATTAATTATTGTCAAATCTTCCAATTGGGTTCACTCCTTAGTTTATTCCCAATTGAGATTGAAAAATAGGATGAATTTGCTATCCAAGTATAATTAAAATAGTATTCAATTCCTTAGTATTTCTCCCAAATCATTTTTACTAAATAATTTTAGTTTATTTGCTCCAAGTTCCAATTACCAAATCACTCTTTCAAACATTTACATATTTTCTTTTATTAATCATTTTTAACACTCCAAAATTCTCATTTCTCTATGGATCGACCTTGGACTCTACCAAGATTTACTACTTGCTTGATAACCTATATTTGAGTTTATAATTTCAAAGGCGAAATAAGTTTTTATTATTTTTATTGATATTAATTAGTTTTTATTGTGGATCCTTTATGAGAATGAACAATTTAATTAGTTGACATTTTTGTGTTTAAATGAGAATAAAATCGAGTTTGAGAGAAGTATAAAATATATTTGATTTATTTTTATTTGTGGAAGAGATAGAGATGCATATTATATTTTTTTATTGAAGTGTTAACCTTTTTTTCTAACATTTAATAAATGTGTATGTATGAAGTAGACTGTACTTTTAGACCTAAATTCTAAATTTTATTTTTTTGACTTAATCTTTTAGAATTTTTTTTTGTTAAATTAAATTGTAATGGGCTTTAATTTTTGATCTATACTTCATTATTAAACATCAAATTTTGTAGCCTTTATATGTGTGAGGCCTAAAGCCTATACTTTTTCGGTTTTATTGTTGAGTCGGCCATGATTGTTTTGACAGATTATTTAATGGCCAACCTCCCGCCGTTGGAGCTAAGCCTCATGGGTTTGAACCTCACCCAACCCTCCCCATGTAAACACTATTCAAATAAAAATGAATAATCTCTATGGGAGGAATCGGTCTGCATATAGCCTAGCAAGTGTCGGTAAGCAAAAATTTGATGGTTTTATGGAACTAATTGTGCCATGTGGTGTAATAGGTCCTATGCTAAAGTGTTCATATATAAAGCCAACACCTCTTTCCTAAGACTAACAATGTGCCACGTGTTTTTGTACGTGAATAATTTCTATATATAAAATATTAATAAAAAATATTAGGTATATGTGTATTTAAGTTAAATATCATCTCAAATTTATCAAATTTATGTTTTTATCAATTGTATTATATTATAGAATTCAAAAAAAATTGTTTGTCTCTAATGATTTATTATTCTAACCGTCTATTAAGCTCTTTGACAGAAATAACCACAAGTGATTACTTCTGTCAAAAACTTAACAGATTGTTTGTAGAAAATACCACATAATCCAAATAAAATTCAAAAATTAAAACTCAAATGAATATTATTCCTTGGATGAGTGTGAGATGAGTGGATCCCACTGAAAAAATTGATGGGATCCACTCATTCAAG